ACTTCCTACTCAAAACTCTCTCAAGTTATCCTTTCTCTCTACTACTTTTCTAACTTAGCCATCAAAGGCCCTTTGGCAGACATCATCACCCTTTTTGAGGGTGTACGTCAATTAGGCTAACGATGTTTATTCTTTTGGGTAGAACTTCATCAAATCAATCTTGTATAAAATCTGCATCTACATAATGTTGTCATTTCACTAAACACGTGAAGAAAAATTGCCACGCATTGAATTATAAGACGATTAATGTGTTTAACATTGCTAGAAAATCATTCTGCCTACGATAGGAATATACGTAATTAAATTATTAGCTGTCTAAGAATAATATAGAAGTGTTAACCCAATTACTTGGGAATTTTTAATCATAGTAGACTTAGCTGAATCAATATGTTTATAAATGCTTTAACTTTGTAGAGGAATAATGCAATTGAATTATTTGATAAACACTAAACTCTTAATTTTAACAAGGGGGAGGGGGAAGGGTGTGAATCCATGATGCAGTAATCACCAAGACAATTCACTACTTGCAAGAGTCAGTTGGTTTCAAACATATAGTTTGTTGTGTTGGTAAAAGAAAACACATAATCAATGGAGATCGTCAAATTAACAATTCATCTGTTGTCCACTTCGTTCCATCTTAGAATCAGAAAATATAAGGTAATAGTTATTGCACAAATTAAGTAGTAAGACATGTCACTCAAAGGCACTTTTACTCACCACCATAACTATGTTTTATGTTCATAATACACCTAACCATCTATCATGTATCATTTTCACATAACTATACTTCACATTGAATGTTACTCTTTCTATTTTAAAAAAAAAATTAACCAAGTTTAATTGAAAGGACACGTGACAAATGATTAGATATATAATGAGCATATATCATAGTTTATGGTGGTGTGCAAAAATGCTTCCCTAAATAAATTAGTACAAGTGCGCGCCAAAATGCCTTAGATTTGAGTATGGGCTAGGCACTCTACCAAAACCGTTTCGGGCTCAAAATTTTCAGAAGTCCAGTATTCCACATGCAGAACATTGGACCTTGAATTTAAAATAAAGCCACCCTTAGCATGATAAGTTTTTGGTTTTTCCAAACATTAAAATTGTTTTCTTTGAGAAATACAAAAATCCCCTTCTCCTTCCTATATATATTCCTCCCCCAACAGCTCACACTCCTAATACACAGCTTGTTTTGAAGTGCTTTAAAATTACTAAAAGTATTTTTGGTAAAAATAATTTTTAAACCAACTCTTATTGAAAATCTAAGTGGATCTTAGAAAAGCACTTAGGGTGCGGTTGTTTGGCTTCCTTAACTCTTACTGGATTAGACTGGTTTTTAGTCTAGTGTTTATTACATATTGGGACTATGTTTAATAAGACTAAAGGGGACCTGTGTGGACTAACAAGCTTGCTAGAAGTTCTTAGCGAGAGCCCCCGAAATGGAGGGGACTAGCTAAGATCGTCTTACTTCTCTGCTTTCTTCCGTCTCTTCATCCTCCAACAAGACCCATATAACTGCACCACCTCTGATCGTCGTGGGCACAGATAGCCGCCAATGGTCTCCGTTCAAACCCAAATCACGAGATCTTTGTGAACCCAGTGGTGGGTGAGGACACAGTCGTTGAAACCCAAATCACGGAATCCTTGTGAACCCAATGGTGGGTGAGGAAAACAACGGTGATGAAGGAATATTGGAGGCCAAGAATGTTGGCGTCCACGACAACATGAAGACGGCAAAGGTCTTGGATTGGGACAATAGTGGCTTAGGGTCACATGATGATGAAGATGAGTTAAGCAGCTTGAGACGCCAAATTGTGGAATTTAAAATTGTCAGGAGTTGATTTTGATCTGATCTGTAATTGTGGGGAGATGGTTTTAATTTGATATGCAATTGTAGGAAGTTGATTTTGATTTGATCTCAAAGTGTGGTATTGGTTTTCGAAGAAAAGGAAGAGTTTTCAGGAAAAAAAAAGGAAAAAAATATGAGAGAATTAAGAAAAAAAATATTAATAGATATGGATATTAGTCTAACTTAGTCTATTTTAAGACAGTCTAGTTTAACCTTTAAAGCTAGTCTAGTTCAAGATAATATTGTGCAACAAACGCACCTTTAATGAAGTTCTTGCAAGAAGCACATGTCTAATGCTTATTCGAAAAGCGCTTAAAGTGTCTTTAGAACCCAAAATCAATTTGACCAAAGCGCTTTGATTCAATTTGAAAGCACTTCCAAATGAGCTCATAAACATCTGTGTTGCGTTTGGTTCACAATTTTAGGAATATATATGAATTAATTGTGCATTTTGAAAGACTAATGCTAGAAATACCAAATATAAATTTTATATCTAAATCTTATTATTAATTAATTAAAATAAAGTTATTACATAACATTCAACATTACGAAATTGACTTTTATGTCACAACTCTAACATTCCCGTGAAAATTTGTTTGGATTTATAGTAGATCTTTTCCTCTGGCAACTGATGTAATGCTCTTGCAATCAAAAGGAAAGGATGACGCACATTCTCTTTGGATATTTGAATGTATTCATGGCAATAGTGTAGGAGTCCCTTGTATTTTTTCACCCGTGTAAACTACTGATACTACTGATTGCATATATGAAGAATGTCTTCTCGTTGGATGACCGAATGCCACAATCGTATCTCGAATCAATAAACAACAGAGAATTGGATATATAAAATGATAAAAGATAAGCGAGAAATGCTTCCCTAAATAAATTAGTACAAGTGTGCCAAAATGCCTTAGATTTGAGTATGGGCTAGGCACTCTACCAAAACCGTATCGGGCTCAAAATTTTCAGAAGTCCAGTATTCCACATGCAGAGCATTGGACCTCGAATTTAAAATAAAGCCACCCTTAGCATGATAATTTTTTGGTGTTTCCAGACATTAAAATTGTTTTCTTTGAGAAATACAAAAATCCCCTTCTCCTTCCTATATATATTCCTCCCCCAAAAGCTCACACTACTAATATAAGGCTGGTTTTGAAGTGCTTTAAAATTACTAAAAGCATTTTTGGTAAAAATAATTTTTAAACCAACTCTTACTAAAAATCTAAGTGGATCTTAGAAAAGCACTTAGGGTGCGGTTGTTTGGCTTCCTTAACTCTTACTGGATTAGACTGGTTTTTAGTCTAGTGCTTGTTACATATTGGGGCTATGTTTAATAAGACTAAAGGGGACTTGTGTGGACTAACAAGCTTACTAGAAGTTCTTAGCAAGAGCCCCCGAAATGGAGGGGACTAGCTAAGACCGTCTTCCTTCTCTGCTTTCTTCCGTCTCTTCATCCTCCAACAAGACCCATATAACTGCACCACCTCCGATCGTCGTGGGCACAGATCGCCGCCGATGGTTTCTGTACAAACCCAAATCACGGGATCTTTGTGAACCCAGTGGTGGGTGAGGACACGGTCGTTGAAACCCAAATCACGAAATCCTTGTGAACCCAATGGTGGGTGAGGAAAACAACGGTGATGAAGGAATATTGGAGGCCAAGAACGTTGGCGCCCATGACAGCAAAGGTCTTGGATTGGAACAATAGCGGCTTGGGGTCACGCGACGATGAAGATGGGTTAAGCAGCTTGAGACGCCAAATTTGTGGAATTGGTTTTTATTTAATCTCAAATTGTGGAATTTAAAATTTTCAGAAGTTGATTTTGATATGATCTGTAATTGTGGGGAGTTGGTTTTGATTTGATATGCAATTGTAGGAAGTTGATTTTGATTTGATCTCAAAGTGTGGTATTGGTTTTCGAAGAAGAGGAAGAGTTTTTAGGAAAAAAAAAAGAAGAAAAAAATATGAGAGAATTAAGAAAAAAATATTAATAGATATGGATATTAAAATTTATTAATTATTTTGTTTCTTAATCTGACACTGCACCAAACGCTTGACTAAGTTAACTTAGTCTATTCTAAGACAGTCCAGCTTAACCTTTAATGCTAGTCTAGTTCAAGATAGTACGGTGCAACAAATGCACCTTTAATGAAGTTCCTGCAAGAAGTACATGTCTAATACTTATTCGAAAAGCGCTTAAAGTGTTTTTAGAACCCAAAATTAATTTGACCAAAGCGCTTTGATTCAATTTAAAAGCACTTCCAAATGAGCTCATAAACATCTGTGTTGCGTTTGGTTCACAATTTTAGGAATATATATGAATTAGTTGTACATTTTGAAAGAATAATGCTAGGAATACCAAATATAAATTTTATATCTAAATCTTATTATTAATTAATTCAAATAAAGTTATTAAATAATATTCAACATTAGGAAATTGACTTTTATGTCACAACTCTAACATTCCCGTGAAAATTTGTTTGGATTTATAGTAGATCTTTTCCTCTGGCGACTGATGTAATGCTCTTGTAACCAAAAGGAGAGGATGACGCACATTCTCTTTGGCCATTTGAATGTATTCATGGCTATAGTGTAGGAGTCCCTTGTAGTTTTTTCACCCGTGTAAACTGCTGATACTACCGATTGCACATAAGAAGAATCTCTTCTCGTTGGATGACCGAATGCCACAATCGTATCTCCAATCAATAAACAACAGAGAATTGGATACATAAAATGATAAAAGATAAGCAGGAAAGATAAATTAGAAAAGATAAGTAAAAAATGTAACGAGAATTGATGATAATTCAAGATCACATGCATCATACATATCAAAGGAAAACTAATGAAAAGGGCTTGAAAACTTTGAGTTTTAATGATAAGGACAAAATAAAGGGTAAAGTAGCAGGATTGACTTTTTAGTGTAAAAATATGATTTTTTGTTAAAATAAACAGTACCGGGTGCTTTTCGTTAAAGTCCAATTTTATTAATTTAGAAGATTGTCAAGATGATAACCAACTACATTTATCCAACTTCCCAAGTTTTTGGTTAATCTCATTGATTGTGATTGATTTGAATTTTGACCAATATAGAGAGAGGGGGCTTGAACCGCGACATGTGCAAGTGCAACCCTTCACGTATATCGAGGTCCTTCCTTCCCTGGCTTTCATACGTGTCCCTGTAAATTAGCCAATCCCTAATTTGGCCATCAGCCATGACCGTGTCCATTTCTGCTATATATACCCCTCTCTTCTCCCAAAATCCCCTCTTTGTCCCCACTCCCATTTCTAAGCTCCCAAAAGTCATCTCACCATCGCCACAACCGCCGCCGCGCTCCTCCGTTCTCTGCCTCTCTTCGCCTCCAGGTACTGCAATAATTTTTCTTCCTCCTTAACTCCCACGTTGTGTGTTTCAATTGGGCGTTTTGATTTCTTATTTTGATCTTCCATCTCTAGCGTTAATTAGTTGGTTAATACTTTTATGTGTTTGTTGGGTGATTGGGTAGTAATGCGATTGGATATCCATCAATTTATTCCTTCCTAAGATCTAAGATCCGCTTGTCGCAGGGTTAAGTTGATTAGAACAATGCATCTGCGCACAAGTTATAATTTTTTTCCGATAATTTAGGTTAACTTGATTAAAACATCGCTCGAATAAAAAGAAAATGACTAGTCAAAAAGGTGAAATCTTTCCTTTCCTTCTTTTTCTGTTATAAAGCAAAATAATTGTAGTTTATGCTGGTTTTCTGCCCTTTGTCTGTAGCTTTTGTGCCACGCGAATGTTAGTCCATATTCTTTTGAAACTATTGACGTCATTCATTTTCATGGTATGTTCTTTGAGATATGACCATCTCTGTTTTGTAGATTTTTTTTATTTTTTATTTTTAACTGTTTTGGGGGTTGGGGGGTTTGATTGATGCAGATATGGATGCCACTACAGGTCCAAGTCTCTACCCGTTGCACCGAACTAAAACTCTTCACCTGGTTTGTTACAGGCTTAAATCGCGTTTTCTTTTCGTTCAATCTTTTTTCAAGTGCATTCAGGTGTTTTCTGACAAAATGATCATATATCCAGGTAAGGCATGCACAAGGGATTCACAATGTGGAAGGCGACAAGGATCATGCGGCATACATGTCTTATGATCTTTTTGATGCACATCTTACCCCTCTTGGCTGGAGTCAGGTAATTGCTAATGTAATTGGTTAATTGAGTTTATGTTGGTATAAAAGAATGCTATCATTGTAAATCTTTTCGAACTTTTTACACTGATAAGAGTTTTAGGGTTTGTTCAGTATCTGCTGGCTGTACTAGATATAGTGTACTGTATTTTTAATATTTCTGTTAGTTTAATGTTGTACTGAACCGAGAGTCTGGTCATGGTGTACTGGATTTTGTTTCCGAACATAATAAGAGGCCTAACTTAACTACAGTTTTAAAACATTCAAATATTAACAGATTTTTTATTTTATTGATTAACATATGAGGAAAGTTGTGCACATTATGTAAACATCTATGAAAGTCTCAAGTGTTCATATTTTAACGAAAGTACAAAATCAACACAAAAGTGGACATATTTTTTTTGAGATCTTGGCAGCATCTCAAAAGAGCGAGCCAATAATGGACAGGCATCCCATCAAAAGTAATTATTACAGCTGACAAATTAGATTATTAAGAACCAAAATGCTCACAAAGGTGTACTTAACATGAAACTGGAATCCAGTATTTTAATGTAATGCCACCAAAAAACTTTACTGCATCATTCTGATTCTGCACAGATAGAACCCCATGCAATGTTAGGTACACGTCCAGGAAATATCCAACTGTTGATGGTGTAGTGACCATGTCAACCCGACACACATAATTAAGTTCTTAATCACTATTTTAGAATAATAATCAAAATACTGGAATACATTTTTTTCCAGTTTCAGTGTGATGTTGAGATATACCATGAATGCAGTCATTCTAACCAGAGGAAGGGTGCTGTTGTGTTTTAGTCCCAAGGTTCCACATGGGTTATTAGTTCCATGTGGAGTGAACTGATCTTAAGCAACTGAATGATTTTCATCCTGTTGCTAAGAGCTAAGAATTGTACATGTTAGGTTTTTCTAGCCCATGTAAGTTGTCTATAAGGAATTATAGTCTTAGAGGATTAAATTGTTTTCCCAATTGGAGTTGTTTTCCCAATTGGAGTTGTTTACCCAATTGGAGTTAGTTTCTCAATTGGAGTAGGATTTATACTTATTCCAATTAGGATTAATAATCCTTATTGAAGAAGACCTTTATTATGTCTATATAAAGGGGGCTATTGTACTAGTTTTGGGAGGGAGCAAAACAATAAATTGTACACCACTCAAGGGATTAGAGTGAGAGAATATTGTAAAGTGTGTACGAGAGAAAAGAAAAGAGATAGTGTATTTCTTGTTCTTGTTTTTTCAGGTTTTTCGTCAAGTCCTAGTTTTAGAGATTTGGCAAGATTATTTTTTGTACTCTGTATTGATATAGTGAAAGATTGTTGTTGCTATCCCGTGGACGTAGGCACATATTGCCGAACCACGTAAATTCTTGGTGTTATTTATCTTGGTTATTTGTTTTCGATTTCCGGAGTGTGTTCTATTTTTCCCATTCTTAAACGCAATATTCTCAACAGTACAAAGACTGATTTTGGATTATTTAGTTCCATCGGGTGTACAGAACACGGTCTTAATGAACTTTTTTGGCATTCCACCAAAAGAACAGTTTTACAAGGAGGATTTTATTGGAGTTATTTCTCCTTTTAAGTTCCTTGTGTCTGCCACTAAGTGTTCTTTTTATTTTTCTCATAATAGATCAATAAATACCATGTAATAATTTTGTACTGTCATAACAGGTTGGTAATCTGCACAAGCATGTTCAAGCATGTGGACTTTCCAAGAAAATTGATTTGGTCATAACTTCTCCTTTGTTAAGGTATTGCGTTTTCAATTTTTTTTTCCTAAAATTTCTATCATCAAGTTCAGCATGGATCATTACTTCACTCTAGTGGAGCAGGCCCACCTTTTCTTCTGTTTATCTTTTATTGTGAACTTGCATGACGCTTACTTTTGTGAACTTGCACAAGCTAAGAAGAACCCGTTTATTTTGTGAAAAGAAATAACCAATAGCATTATATCAACTACATATTGACGAAATAGCCCTGCTTCAAAAATGTATTCAATAATAGCCCTCTTTGGCGAAATTAATTACCTTTCACTTGGGGCTTATCCACATTGACAAAATATGAGCAACATATTAACGAAATATCAATAACAGGTGGACAACATATCAATGAATATCAACAACATTTGGACAACATATGGATACTTGATAAAAGGGTGTAGAGGGCTAGTACAGATTGAATTCATGAGGAGCACTAATTTTGATTGCTGGCTTTGCAATAGGGTCCTTGAACCCAATTTCCCCAGAATTTATGAGAAATAGGTGAAATTATGGACTAGTTTAATTTAGGAGGGGACGTGCTGCAAGCCTTTATTCCTTTACTATTTCATCCTTAATGTCATCTTTGCTTCCATCTCTGAGTGAGGAATGATACTACCTTTTCAATTAGGTTGGCCGGGCTCCTTTCATGTGTCAAAAAGAGCTTTTGACCTTGCACTGTATATTTATAACAATTCTTTCTAGTTTTTTGTAAAGAAAATAAAATGAACAGCTGCAGGTACTCTAGCTTCAGTGGAATAGATAAGAATTTACATTTGTTGAAGTGAGTTGGATTCAAATAGACATTAAGATGATGAGGTGCTGTTGAAATGATTCAGAAACTTGAGGCTGCTAAGCATATGGTCCCTTTTTTTAGATATATCTCTTTTAAAAACTTATAACGGCTATGCTAATTTGTCCCTCTCTAGAGAAATTTAACTTTTGTGGTTTCATGTAATAGAGTGAACATTTGTTCTTGCTTTTGGAATTATTATTTCAGTTTTGCACTTGACTAATTATTGAGTGATCTGTAAAGCCCATGTCCCTTGAAACATTAAGCTGCTGTTAAGGCGCATTTGTTTTTTTTTTCAGAGAATGCAGTATATACACCAAACAAATAAGAGTGTGAATGTTTCAATAGGTGGAAGTTGAAAAAAAGAAAAAGGACTCTAATTTGACCAATTGTTGCCTTGTAGGACCATGCAGACAGCAGTGGGTGTTTTTGGGGGTGAAGCATACACAGACGGGATAGATGTACCTCCTCTAATGGTTGCAAATGCTGGAAACAGTGACCATCCTGCAATTTCAAGTCTAAACTCCCCACCATTTATAGCAGTGGAGCTTTGCCGGGAACATTTGGTATGTCATGTTAAAAATTAAAACTTGTAACAGCTATGTAAGTTTTGTATAGAAGGTACCAAAAACACAGAGAGATGGAGTGGTTTGGGTAATTTTGACTCCACTCATGCAAACAATAAAATAAAACCTTGGGGAAAAGGATTTGAGAATCCTGATTTCAGTAGTTATTTTTGCTTTGCAAATGGTATAACTTTACAACACACTCAGTATTATCTAAAAGAATTTTATTTTATTCTGACCTATTACCCTGTTAGGCAGTTAGATTTGAATATAAATTTGATACCCGGATTCATACTACTATATACAGAGCCTTTGAGCAGGCCCCCTTTTGCTCGTACAGAATTACAAACTTATGAGATATTTATTTTTTGAACATATTTTATTCATTAATTTTTCACATAAATTAATTAAAGTGGGTTTATTTGATTTCCTTCTTCACCCTTCACACAATCACTGGGTTCTAATTGAACATCATGCTTAAATGTGTGTTTTCTCTTCTCCTGCAGGGTGTTCATCCATGTGACCAAAGGAGAAGCATTAGCGAGTATCGGCCTCTTTTTCCTGCAATTGATTTTTCACTGGCAAGTGACTTATTGCAATTACATTGAGAAAAGCTATGCCGTCATTTGACATGTCACTTTGGTTTTGGTTGCTTGTCTAACCATGAACTTTGATTGATTGGAATGTATTCTGGTTCACCTTTTGTTTAGATAGAGAATGAGGATGACATCTTGTGGACGCCTGACGTTAGAGAGTTAAATGAAGAAGTGGCAGCTAGGGGACTGAAGTTTTTGAACTGGTGATCTCTTAATTACTCTTAAGTTACATTGCATTTTTGGTAACGGGTTTCTTTATTATTCATCACCACGAAAAGAATCATTGAGGAAAAGTAAAAGTGAAAAGAAATCTATGGTGCAGAGGACAGGAGAATGATATCTAAATTTAACTAGGATGTCGTGCACAACATGAATTCTTTTATCGGTGCCTGTAGGAAAATTGTGTTGTGGGTATGCTATGCCAATTCATGGTCTTAAGGAGGTTTTAGCTTTTGCTGACTTGTAATCCAAGTTTTCTCCATAGTTCAATTATAAGTGTTATGATACACCTATCGGCTATCGTGCTGTTTTCTCACCTCAAGCAACTCAGGATTTAATTTATTCCAGAAATCTGTTTATAGTTGCTGGATGTGTTGCATGAGTTCATTGCATAGGTGTTGACCCAACTACCATTGCAACAAATTTTGTTAGCATCCTTCTGTTTCTGTCATGCATAGCATCTTGCTTAGGCTTTTATCTTTATTCTACCGGGTAGAATCTTGCATAGCATCTGAACATTTAGCTTACATTTGTTTCATTGTCGTAGCTGACCACTTTCTGGAATAGATTGTAGTACTAATGTAATTGTTAGTTTTACGATAAATCTAATAGTTCGTACTATTTCGTGAAGTTACTTGTTAATGATTTACTTTATAGGTTTCAGCTATTTTGACAATTGTTCTTGTATTGGCAATGTGGAAAGGTGTTAAAACTGTTAGTTGTTTCTTTTGCCGCTCTCAATTGGTCCAGGTTGTGGACTCGTAAAGAGAAAGACATTGCAATTGTTTCGCACAGTGGATTCTTGTTTCATACCTTGAGTGCTTTTGGAAATGATTGCCATCCGTCTATCAAGAGCGAAATATGCACTCAGTAAGTGTTATGGTGGTTGTTTTATCCCAACTTTTAATTCAAGAGCATGCACATTACATTCCACAACACAGGATAATGTTTATAATCGTATGTGTACAAAAATCGTTCTACCAGTGTCATATATTTATTCTCTAAACTAAGGAGAACGAGTCCCTTTTTTTTTTTTTCTCTCTTTTTGATTTTTTTGGATGGATGCTAAGCTTAAGAGTGGAATTCTGTTTATGCAGCTTTGCTAATTGTGAGCTTCGTTCAGTGGTAATTGTCGATAGGAGGTGAGCTTCTTGTTCGTTAATTTTAACAGCGCGCACACACATCTAGCTTATGCGGAACTTTTAATAAATTGTCTTCCGCGTGAAGTTTGATGGGGTCTGATTCTTCAACAACTAATTATCCTGGGAAGATACCTCGCGGGCCTGATCTTCCTAGTGACGTTGCCGATGAGAAGCATTCGGAGAAGGATGCTTCCAAGTAATTATAGCCAGTCCATGATGCTGGATGGATAGTCTTACATAAGTAATATGATTCTTCTGAAGCCCTGATTTTTCCGGGGCTGGTGGCTCATTTTTACACCGGAGACGGAAATTTAGTCGTTTTAAAAGGTTCGGGATAGACTCGGATAGTCTCGGGCTAACCCGAATATTGTTGATTGTTTTACAAGTTACTTGTTTTTAGATCACACTTTTGTCTTCCTCGTCACATAGACACAAATAGCAGACGTTCTTTGATTGGAACATACTTATTTGTTAATGTCTTAAGCGATAGCTTGAAGGGCAAGGTTTATAGTATGCCCCAATGAAACTTGACAAGGTGAATACTTACGAGAACATTTGATAATGTTTTTGTTTTTAATTTTTTGTTTTCATTGTTAAGAAAATGCAAACATGAAACTTGTTGGTAACTCATTTTCCTTTTTCGTCTTTCGATATTTTTTTTTATTTAAAAAAGAATTTGTTTTTCTCCCAAAATTTTAACAACTTTCTATTTTAAAAAAAAAAAATTCATGACCGTTGGAATTGGAAGGACATGATTGTGCCACGCCTCATAGAGCTGTTGAAGTAGCCGTTCCGTGCGCAACTAACAATTGAGGCGGGCACCAAGCACATCTTTTTTGTCTAACCACTCGCCTCCTGTCAAGTGCATATCTTGTAAAATAATAAATAAATAAAGAAACGTAGATTACATCGGCTAAAGCTGGCTATGCTTAGGGCTAGAATTGCCTATAAGAAACAACCATGGCTAGAAAGAAAATGAGTAGGGGGGTGTTTTGGAGTTGGTTTGACATCTTGTCACAACTAAAAATTATGAGTGAAAGTGCACCACTTAGGATTAATAATCGAAATTGTTTAGTTTATAAATTTGCATCTAAGAATTATCTCTAAAATAATTCAAGTTGCGTTATCTTTTGTTATTGTTTGATGACAAAATAATTTTGGATTTGATTTATGTGAAATTGTGAATTACACTGAAATAACATGAAGAGGGTAAAATTGATTTTAGGGTTTTTACGCAGAAGAAAAATAGAGTGGAGAGGGAGTTGACCAGGTTTGACTCTGAAATTTGAAATTTGAAATCTATAAGCTCTTGAATCGACCGTTGAACCGCCTTATAGCGGCTATCTATCTGTCTTCCCTCCCAATGGTTCATTCTCTCTCTCATGCTCTCTGCAAACAGCGCCTGATCGATCGCTCTCTCTCCCTCCTCCTCTATGAATTCTGATCCTAAAGCCCTAAGCTCTCTCTCTCTCTCTCTCTCTCTCATTTTGTTGACTACTGATCTGAAACCCTAAACCCACTCTTTTATTCTGTTGAATTGATTTGGTTTTGTGAATTCGAATTTGAATCTTTTGTCGGAGGTTGCGGTGGTCCTTCGGAATTGGGAGGAAGAAAAAATGTGGGTTTTTGATGCGAGAAATAGAATGATGTAGAGCTAGCATTCCCTTACCTCTCCCTTCACCAAAACAAATTGGCCACCACAAGGAGGAGTATGGTTATTTCATCTTCTTTTTTGTTCATGTTTCGGGTGGAGACTTAAAATCATCTTCTTTGGTAGTTTTGAAGAATCCTCGTCAAAATAAAGGAAGACCACATTCATGAAGATTTGAAAGTCTTTCCTCAAAGATGTTAACTTTGGTTCTAGGAACCAAAGAGAGTATTCAAGAGTACTCATCTCATCTCTCTAAAATTTTTTTTTTTTTTTGAAAAAAAATTGGTTCATCAACCTTTACACCTTGAAGATTTTGAGAAATTGATTTAGTTTTTTAATATATGCATATCTAGCTTCCGCCTTTAATTTGATTTTAAGCATGAGTTATTCAATAAATCCTCTAATTTCACACTATTTTTCTTTCAGTAACATATTCATTTAAACTTTTGTCAAAACCTGCAGTATGTACGAGTAAATGGTTAACCAAGTTAAGGGTTACCTGAAAATTGGTTTTACGACAAATGATCTACATAATAAAATGTCTGTTAGTCGAGAAGAAGTTGTATTGGAAGGTGAATTGCAAGTGGTACTTGTGCGCATGCACGCTATAGATGCCACTAACCCGTGATTTTATTGAAGTTTTTTGGTTGACACAAGAAAGAGGTTGACAAATATGCTATAGTCAGACTTAGAATCCGTAACTATTTATGGCTTATTTGACGATGTATTAATATTTGATAGAAATTGCATGATAAATATCTATGATAAGCCACTAGAGGCACCTATAACGAAGCACATGAACAACCTTGATCAAATGAGTTATCCATTCATCTAACTTGGAGCCCACTTGCTCAAGGACATGTGGCAAAACTACAATAACATTCTTAGAGTCCCACATCGATCACAGACAAGAATGTGGGACTCTCCTCATATATGAAAGGAGACGTCTCCCTCACAATTAAGCTCTTTTGGATCATAGGACTCTCACATATCACCATCACTTAGTGATCGAAGCATCCTCACAAAGGTTCTCACACTCCAGTTTACATTGACTTAAGGTCCATAGGATTTTGTGCACCAACATATTTGGATTCGTCGGAAAAACAACATTTTGATAAATACACTATCTTCAACTTAGCTAGGCTAAGTACCGATCTTTATCAAACCCTCACCTTCATTTCAACATGGGGAACAAAGAAAGTTCACCTCGCTTTGCTTATGTCCGTTACGAGGGACAAGCTTCATCATCATTGCATGAACTCACCTTTGACATGCTAGTAAATTGAGCGAGCCCTTCAAAACACACATGTACAAGGACCCTATAGCCATGCACCCACTAGCATGCCTAGAACAAGCCTGAGCATGGGTTCATTCGAAGGTCGTCCCCTTGCTACCGTATTCCAAAGTTATATCTCCACAACAACTTTCTGATCGCCTCTGATTGTGCTACCCTTGAGATGAATTGTTATGATTATCCAATAAATCTTTTGAAATGCAGCAGGAATATCACACCAGTACTACGTCTTGATCCTTCATTTCAAGGTAAAAAAATGTGCCACGCTCAGCGAAGTGTAGGTAGGGACCCCATTTATCATCGTTATTAACATGGAAGATGACGATGATGGTGGGTAATGGCGGTGGTGGTGACAATAGTAGTGGTGGTGCAGATGTTAGGTGGTGGTTGAGGTGGTGTCAGTGATTATGGTGGTGATGTGGCGACAGAGATGAAGGTGGAGGCAACGGTAATGGGAGTTGCTGTGATTGCCACTCATGATTAATAATTTTATTTTATTTTTTGTTTTAAACTCTCATTCATGAAAATTTGAAAATGATAACGATCACATGAAATTAAACTGGCAATTGAAAAACATTCTTCATTTAAAAATTTATATATTTATAATTATAACTTTATTTTCCTCGTGTAAACGGAGTGTAAAAATAATTGAAAGGGAAGTTCATAGCAATCCGTCGCGGGTACATCAAAAGCGCGCGTTGACTTATTTCGCCCGTCCCAACCTCCAAAGGACATGCTCGCCATTTTCTCCTCAATATAATGCCACTCGAGCACACTCCTGATCCCAGGCCTTCCCACGCTCTCTCTCTCTCTCTCTCTCGATCTGTGCCGCAGGGATCGGATCTGCTCTGCCTCTGAAGTTTCTCTCTCATACAAAATTACAAAGCGATTGCGACGGAAGGGAAAAAGAAGAAAACTGTCAGTCGCTGGGTTCCCTTTGATTTTCCATTAGGGTTTTGATGACATGATCAAGTTATGAGCGCAGAATGCTTTCCCCTTCTCGATTCTCTGCAGCAATTTACTGAAATTCATCGCATCATCAATCTCGTCGCCGGCAGACGACAATGGCAGCTTCGCCCGTCAATTTCCTCTTCTGTTTCTTGGTCATTTGCATCACCTTATGGCTCCTCTTCATGTACGTCCCTCTTTTCCCCATCTCCACAACCCATTCATATAAGATATATGGATACGTGTATGTATGTATGTATGATATGTGAATGCTTCAAACTCGGGTTTTATTTGGATTTTATTTTTATGAATTTTGTTGGGTGCAATTCAGTTTTTGATGCCAATTGCAATGCCTGTGGAATTAGAAATGGGATAAATTTGCTAGTTTTGGGAACGAAATTCGTCATACAGGCGTGCTTGAGATATCGAATTTGCAATGTTGGGACAATTTTAGCAGCCCTGGAAACCAGTGAAGACAATGTGTGTGTGAACGTGGGTGGGTGTCTGCGTATATGTAGTGTAGGTGTATTAGTTTGAAGTTTTGAACAGTATACAGAAAGGAACCATTCTGGAACTTAGTTGAAAATTGAAATAAAGAAACAAAGGACTGACCAGGGTGATGATAATTGCATCAGTATTAAGATGAGTTATTTTATGGGTTCAAAATAGGACTCTTTCATTATTACTTTGATAAACTTTTTCAATCTTTCTCCAGGCTTGAAGTGAGTTTTTGCACTAAGCATCTTTGGCAGATTTTATTCAAGGTTGCTGGCTTGGATTTTGAGCCGCGTAGTGGGAGCATCTATCAGATTCCGGTTTGGCGGATGGAAGTGTATAAGGGATCTCATGGTGGAGTTCAAAAAGGTTTTCACTTTTTCTTCAGTGGTTCAGTTTACTTATTTATTTATCATGACATGGTTGAGTAAAGGGGTTTCTCTTGTTCCTTATATTAAGTTGAAAGCTAATAAAAGTATTATGAGACCTATGTTAGCATGACTTCACAATAATTACTAATGAAAAATGGAATGCATCTTTTAATTAGTAATTCCATATAAATCTAGTCTCATTAATAAGTCATGCCAGAAAATTTCTGTTCATATTTCTCATGTGATATAACTCAGTGGTTGTTCTGCAAAATGGAGTTGCTAATTGAGGCTCTCGGTCCAATGGGAAGTTCTTTATGATCTTTTTCCTTTCCTGGATGGTTTTGAGGTTTTTATATAGAACTAAGCAGCTGTTTACAAAACAAGTGTGTATGTTGTTTGTAGATGTGTTTAATTGGGGTTTTGTGATTTTATCTCTCTGGAGTGCTCCGAGTGGTAGATCTAGTTCTTAGTTATGTCTACAAATTTGATTACTACACTCATCTATAGTGGATCATAGTCTACCTAAAAGAAAATGAAGGATTACTCTAACCCTCCCTGGGCCCTCCATATGCTGTTTGGAATTTGTTGGATGATTGTCAATGCTTTAGGGAATTTTTGTTTGGTCAGCAGATTAGTGCCCATTAGATATTGACATTCTTCTATTTACGACTATGGTAATTTTGCAGGGTGCTGTTGAATCTGTTTCTGTTGGTGAAATTAAACTCAGCTTACGTCAGTCCTTGGTCAAACTGTTTGGTTTTATTTCTAAAGACCCGAAGCTGAAAGTGTTAATATGTGACTTAGAAGTTGTGATGAGGCCTTCGAGTAGAAGTACGGCAAAGGCTAAACCAAAATTTCTGCTAAGTGGCATTTGTTTCCCATGATTGTAGCAAAGAATAGAGACACAAGTGATTCTGAGGATGACGGGACTCGTCATTTCATGGTGAATGTTATTGAGCCCCAATTTAATCTTCACTCAGAAGATGCAAATGTGAGTTGTTTAGAATTTTCGTCGCTTATGTTTTGGTATTCTTATTACTTTCTATATTTATCAAATAATGTTTTAGATAGAAAGATCTTTCTTTATTAAATTTAATAAGAAAATGTTACAAGTCAGATTGTTAGTACCTTGTCATTTTCAGTATGTCATTACATTATCAGAAATTGTTGTTTGTAAAGTTCACTGGAAAAACATTAAATTTTTGGGAGGTCCAGGCCATGAGAGAAATATGTGCTCATGCATTATGCACTCTTCAATTGTTTGAACTATGCAAGAAATAAAAAAAATGTTATTTCCATCCAAGGATGACTGCCTTTTTGCTAAACAGGGAAGATTTCTGCTTGCTGCTGTTAGTGGCCGGGTCTTGGCTAGGTCTTTTCATTCAGTCCTTCAGGTTGACTCTGAGATGCTCGAGCAAGCACTTGGTACTGGGAATGTAAATATTCCAGAATGTGAACCTGAAATGACATGGAAACGCATGGAGTTTTCTGTTATGTTGGAACATGTTCAAGCTTATGTTGCTCCAACAGATGTTGATCCAGGTGCTGGATTGCAGTGGCTTCCAAAGATTCGTAGAAGTTCTCCAAAAGTTAAACGTACTGGTGCATTACTTGAGAGAGTTTTTATGCCCTGCGATATGTACTTCTGGTACACAAGGCACAAAGGTGGAACTCCAGAGTTAAAGGTGATTTGGCCCTTCATTATGCACATAAGTTGGTCACCTTTTATATATATATCTTTGGTAAAAGTATGCTTGAATGCATATTTATTTGCATAAATTGAGGTGTGTATGTATGGTATAACATACATATCCAAGTGATCATCTTTCAATATTGATCCTGTTATCCCAGCCTGGTGTGTGAATGTTCACATTTATTAAGCACTTCCCTCGCATTTGAATCTTTTTCTTGCAGGTTAAGCCCTTGAAAGAGCTGACTTTCAATTCCCGTAATATTATGGCAACTATGACTTCTCGCCAGTTTCAGGTTAAGCTGGATGTGTTAAGGAATCTTCTCTTTGCACGGCTTCCCAAGTGAGGATTTGCATCCTTTTTATTTTTAATTTGATTTCTCTCCTTTTGAAATTGTGTCATATTATATATTTTTTGGGATAAACAATAGACATAAAAATTTAGAAAACTATGCAAACAAAGATGGACAATAATTATGGAAAATTGTATAGGATCTCTTCATTTAATTTTCATGAGTTGAAGTTAGTTAGTTCTTGTGCTTTTCCCCTCACATTTTAATTTTCACTGTTTTCTTTGTGGTTTACTTCTTGTCCACTTTTTTATGATCTCATCGTTGGTTAGCAAATGAAATGTTGTTGGCTGAATTTTTAATAAGTACGATTTGTTTCAGTACTGGTACTTTGTTAGTCAGCTACAGTGGCCTTTTCCCTATAAAGATCTTGCAACTTTGAATTGATTTTCTTTCATCACTAGAATATGGTCTTTTTTGGCAAAGAATCTGTCTTAACATCTCTTTTATATTGTTTATTATTGTACTTGTATGGCTGTTTTAGTTTTTGGTTCTTCATTACATAATTAGAGATTTAAAAAACCATGGTTTTCTCTTTCCAGGTGCAAGGACTTAAAAGAGAGCTTTTGAATTCCAAAAAGTCAAGGAAAGCATCATATACATAATTAAGAATGGCTCTACATAAGGCTGCCCAGCTACGCCTGATGGAAAAAGAGAAGAACAAAAGTCCATCCTATGCTATGCGCATTTCTTTGCAAATTAACTAAGTGGTTTGGAGCATGATTGTTGATGGTAAATCTTTTGCCGAGGCTGAGATCAATGACATGGTGAGAACTGAGCATCGTCGTATTCTATGGTTGTAGAAACATAGAGAGCTTATTGTTCTTGTTTAGGAACCTTTTTTTTTTTTTTTTTTTTAATAACAAACACTGTACAGTAAAGTGGACAAGTAAGCCTTCAGTAGCAGGAAGATAAATAACATTAATACAGGGAGGAACTAGGTAGGTGAGTCATGACAGAAATTATTTCGGAACTGGGGTTGCGGGGGGATAAGCTTGCCTTGTTTTTCTTGGCATTAATGAACGGTTTCACAATTTATTATTGGAACCTTGTAGTATGGTGTGTTGTTTATGAAGGATGCTAGGCTAGGACAAATATCCAGTTTGTTCTTTTCTTCTTCCTTTGTTTGGTGTACTTGCTTGAGGACTATCATGCCACTGGTTCCTATTGATCATGTTACTTATATTTGGCAACTGAAATGGCACTAAACAAAATGTTAAAACTCCAAGGTACTGTTTACAGGTGTGTGCATAATGTCTTTATGATTTGTATTATTCAAAGAGGTTTGATGGGGTTGGCGAGTTGTTCACTGAAACTTGTTGCTTTTGGGAGGGGTAAGAAGGCTGTTTTGTCTGTGTTATCGATGAAGTGGTTGAAGGGGGGGGGGGCTGTTTAGAAGTAGTTTGGCAGAGATGATGTTTTTGTTCTCTCTGGGCTTCAGAGTTTAGGGATCTAGTATTCTCTTCTGGTTTGCTTATTGGAAGGCTGCTATAGGATAACTTTGGTTGCTATAGTTTTTGGTTGTAGTTCTCTTGTAATTGGTTGGTCTTTGTTTTTCTTTGTATCCATTTTGACATATTGTTTCTTTAAGAAATTAAGTAAAGATGCTCCTTGCCCACATTGTTTTCATCTGATGCCATTCTTCGTCTGTCGTTGCTTGTTCATGTCAGTTAACTTTCATAAATGTATGCTATGTATGATATATTTATGAGTTTTTCTAAGCATTATATTTGCAAGAAGAAGGCTTATGCGATTTCTTTTTCCTCCTCTTAGATTTATGACTTTGACCGGGATTACAAGGATGTTGGTGTTGCTCAGTTTACAACAAAAAATTTTGTTGTCAGAAACTGCCTGCCAAATGCCAAGTCAGATATGCTATCAGCATGGAATCCTCCTACTGAATGGGAAAAGTATGCACATTTTCCCTGCCTAAAGCATAGCTTGTTCTATTAATCTACTCTGCTTTTATCACACTTATTCTTTCCACACATTAATATCTGCTCTCTTTTCTGTGTACAGTGTGAACCACCATATAGTATTCTTGTGTTCCTCCTTTCACCTGTGTTACACAGTTGAATAAAATGTTTCAGAAGTTGTTACTCAGATTAGATCATGCAAATAAATTTTAGTGATTTTAAAATTTGGGTTTTACGTTTTAGTTGGTTAGCTGCCCTAAGGCACTCTCTTTGGCTCTCGTTCTGGAAAAATTTTTCATGTCTCCATCTTTAATTTTGATTCTGTTTGGTTCAGTTGAATAAATTTGCCTGAATATTGTTTATGAGTAACAATTGATATTTCTTACTTTATACACCCAACATGGATGCTTATTCTGTTTTAGATGAATTTTTTTCCTTTGCCTTCACTCATCATAGTTTAGTGCAAGGAGAGGACTATAATGGTCCCCAAAGACTAGCTGTAATTGTCACAACCTTTGGTTTCTGTTTCCACGTAGGAAAGGGAAACTTTAAGCCACTGTTTGATTTAATCATGAAAATTTCAAGAATACTCTTTTATACAAAAATGTCCTTTATTGCTTTCTCAATATTCTATCCTGGATGTCATTCATAACATTTCAGGATGTTTGGTTTTTGAGTGTTATGACATTTAACATTCCAGGGCCTTTTTTCTTGGTTTTTTTTTTTTTTTTTTTTTTTTTTTTTTGTGTGTGTTTGTGGGTATTCTCCCTGAAGACTATATTTCAACTTAAATAATAATTTCATTTGGCAGCAGTTTGATTTTGGGTTCAATGCTGCTGTTGGGATAAAGAGTAGGAGGGAGAAAGGAAGGAAATGAGAAATAAATGAGGTGAAGAAGAAATGAATGACTAAACATAAAATAAAACCGGATAAAAAAACCTGTTTAAATTTTTTACTAGCTTGTTGCCATTGCGTTATATTTTGCACCATTATCACTTTCTTTTCACCATTTCTTCTGTTTTCTTTATCATGAGAAGTGCTCAATGTTTCTTTCTCTCTACCTTATTTTTCTGGTTCCATTGGAGGTAATCCAACTCAAGACTTATATTAATCCTAAGCCAACCCCCCCCTTCTCCCTCTCCCCTTAGGAGATCCAACTACTGTTTGCAAATCATTATCTTAAGGATGAAAGAAAACAAAGCTTTACCTAACGATCCCGTATTTATCTTTTCTACTAGTTAGTAAAATTGTATGTTTGGAATCTGGATTCATATTTTTAAGGCATAAACCCATGTTGATGACTTCATGATTGTCCCATAAACGGTTACAAGCTTTATAGGTTAGTATGAGAAGTTTTGCTGTCAACGGGTACAATTTTGAATATACATATGTTTTTCACGTTCATGTCAATATAAAAAGTATGCGTAAATATTATCTTTCCAGGATGTGAATCTGGACCTTTCATCAGAGGGATTCCTGCTTGAATACGTGTTCCAAATCCACAATCTGGCAAACATATGTCACTCATGAGAACAATACCTTGCATATGTGTAGTTCATAGTTGTGACCTTGTTTATATGCTTATTAAACGTTTATGTTTCCTGATGAAAAATGTGTAGTTTGTACTGGGAGTTGTCATATATTAATACATGCAGCCATTCTTATGATACAAAAGCAGTGGACTGATATGCTTAGGAAGAAACTAGGTATACATATGGTGTGATAACATGATGGTAATTAACCTGTTGGGTAACATTTTGCTTAGTTAGGCATTGCGTAAATAAAAATTGTCCACCCTCTGAATCACATCATTTAAATATGAAGAATTTGGTAGTTCCTTAAATGTTTTCTATAATTGTTCACAAATTAAAGATATACGATTTTGGCTACAGGAAAGTTTTGCTTCGCGTGGATGCAAAGCAAGGAGCTCCCAAGGATGGAAATTCTTCTCTTGAACGTTTTCAGGTAATAGGTTCTCTTTCTCTCACATCCACTGTCATTGTCAAATAACTATAAATACTAATCCATTTGCTTTTGATTATTTTGGGTTTGATCTGTATGGTGAGTCGGTGACTGCCACAGATGCTCTCACAGAATCCGTAGTTTTGTTTTCTTTTAAATCTCAAACCTCTCCTTTGCAAGAGGATAAAACTGTATTTTAATTTTTTTTAAGAGAGGGTGGAGTGAGCATTTTGGCGGATGTAATAACAACCACACATTGTTTTAGATACTCAATTTATAAAAGCTCTCTTTTGACGGACGAATGTACCCACACAAACTCTTCGTTTCTGTAATCCTTCTTTCAGAGGCAGAAGTAGGGCAAGACTTTTGTATAATTGTGCTGTTGTATATGTTTCTTTTGGGTAATTTGGTTGGATAGAGAGATATGCGGAGGAGAGTTCCTTGGGAGAAGGTCGGGTTATGGGCACCCAAATTCCTTTCATAACCTAGAGTGTTTGACCAGTAATACTATCATAAAAGAACATGTATGCAGTGCATGGAATCTAGCTTGCCTTATATCAACCGTTTGTTTGGTAATAAAGAGGCTTGGGTTTGTGTATGTTGCCTTGGCAAACCAATATTTGCTTGCTCAACATTTATTTTTAATACTGTAGGTAGAGATCTATCCTCTCAAGATTCATTTAACCGAGGCAATGTACAGAATGATGTGGGGATATTTATTCCCAGAAGAAGAACAAGATTCACAATGACGGCAGGTATATTGGAAATGTTACTGATTTGAAATTTGTGACTGCTAGAACTTTTCAGAGGTATAAATGGTTGTCCAATTGGTCACATGCAGGAAGTTTGGAAGGTTTCAACAACTGCTGGTGCAAAACGTGTGAAGAAAGGCTCATTAGTCCCAGAGATTTCTGCATTAAGCGGTCAAACAAATAAAGAGTCTGAGGCCTCATCCAAAGCAAGTCCCTCTGCCCCTGCTACCAGTCAATCCTCCGTTCATGCAGATCCTGTGCAAGTGAGATTCCTTCTCTTCTTTCCTTTAATTTTTTGGGCTAGTTTTTTTATGAAACAATATGATTACCGCTTCCTTATTTTCTAGATTATTATTATAACAGATTAATGGATGCCTTTTATTTTATTTTATTTATTTTTTTATTGCACGGTTACTTTAAATCAACATTTGATGCTATACTAGAATGGATATAGAGAAATTATTGTGTTCGTTTATTTTCTTCCATGTGATCTTAAAGCTACACTGCACTTTTGTTGATCTTGTTGTTTGACCTGATTCATCTGTCCAGGAATCAAAATTGCAAAACCTAAAGACAACAGTTGGTGGTAGTCCAACCAGAGAGTTAAGAAGAACGTTTTTCTTTGACAGATCATGGGAAGACACTGGCAGAATCAGTTGCTACAGAACTTGTCTTACAGAGCATTACTGGGCCACTTGGTTCTATTGAACTAGATGAGTCCTCGAAGAATAAATTGAAAGACCCCAAAGCTGTCAAATCTGGTAGGTCATCCCATGAAGAAAAGAAGGTAACAAAATCACAAGAAGAGAAAAGATTTAGGCCACGAAAGATGCAGTTTCACAATATTAAGATAAGCCAGGTTCAGTTTCATTATCTACAATTCCAAATTCCGCTAATTTTCCATTTTTACTCAAATGCCTAATATCGTATTTTCACAGGTTGAGCTATGTGTTACTTACGAAGGATCTAGATTTGTTGTAAATGATCTTAAGTTGCTGATGGATACATTTCACCGTGTTGAGTTCACCGGCACTTGGCGGAGACTCTTTTCGCGGGTTAAGAAGCATATCATTTGGGGAGTCTTGAAGTCTGATGGGAATGCAGGTCTGCATTTATACCTTTTAATATTGGGAGTTTTAACAAAACACTTCTGGTACTGTTCACTTTTAACGAAAAACCACATTTTTACCTTTAACTGGCACTATTCACTATACCTTTAAAAAGGGCCTTTCGTTAAAAGAGAAGTTTTTTTTGGATTTTTCGTTAGTTTTCCTTTTAATATTTACCCCTGCTTATTATCCGTACAAAAATCCAATGAACTAGGGCTCTTTCTTCCCTCTTTAACACCACAGTTTAGTTGAATTTTCCCTACTATTATAATTAACGGCAGGAAAATTGTTATGAAAACATCGATCTCTAACCTGCTTTAAATTATCACCGTCAAATTTTTCAGGGTAAGAAGTTCAAGGATAAGGCTAATAGTCAGAGGGAACCCAGTGGATCGGGTGTTCCCGATAGTGACCTTAATTTCAGTGACAATGAAGGTCAGCCAGAAGAACCTGACCAGAATCCTATACCGTTTCTCAACTGTCCAAGTGACGGAGCAGGTGATGGATTTGTCACCTCCATCAGAGGCCTTTTCAATACTCAACGTCGCAAGGCCAAGGCATTCGTACTGCGAACCATGAGGGGTGAAGCAGAGAATGATTTCCAAGGAGATTGGAGTGAAAGTGATGCAGAGTTCTCTCCATTTGCTAGGCAGCTCACAATAACGAAAGCTAAGAGACTTATCCGGCGGCACACTAAAAAATTCCGTTCAAGAAAAGGTTTGTCAAATTGTTCACTTTCATAAAATGATCAATCACCTCATCGCCTTCTTTTGTCCACTTGTCCTTTTTATTCTCCCCCAAGGACGTAGAAAATAACATAGCGCATGGCCTGTTCATTCTTAGGGATGCCATTTAGTTAGACGATAAGTAGGTACTAGGTGATCCTATAGAAACTGTCTGTCCGTCCGACCTCCCTTTTTCTGGCAATGTTGGATGCCTGCATTGATGATTTTTTATCATTGAAATTGAAATCACTTCTACTTTTTCTCGTCTTTGTAAGGTTCATCCTCACAACAGAGAGATTCACTCGCATCCTCGCCAAGGGAGACCACTGCATTCGATAGCCATTCTTTGAGTGAATCCTCGCCCTACGAAGATTTTAATGAGGGAAACATTTTGTCCTCCAGAGAGGTTCCTTGAAGGCAGCTTTAAGAAACCCCAGTCGAGAAGGGGAGTAAAATGAGACTATTATTTGTTCTAGTCGGGTGGCCACTACAGAAAGAAGGATTTCAGGTGCCATGTTCATCATCCAAGGACGCACGAGGAAGATTGATGCATCCCTTGGTATCGCTTCGAGACCGTGCATTTGTGCAGCAGAAGACAGACTAACTTCGAGCAATGCGAGTTGAAGCCATCTCTCACGCCTTGATGGTCTTCGGCCTCGGGATGTAATTCTATTTGCCACAAGAGGCTGGTTGTATAGTTTTGTAAGTTGAGCTGAAGAAAACAGAGGGTCCTAAATTTGAAGAGCTCTCGGTTAATTTCCCTAAATCTGTACATAGATTCAAATATAAATTTTGAAATAAATGAATGTAGCATCTCTCCCTCCTAAACCATTGCCTTCCCTTGACTAAGCCAACGTTATCCGTCGGCAGTCTTTCCCTTAATTCTATGTTATCTCTAAACTAAATTTATATCCTTTTAAGTTTGGGGTGGTTTTTAAAAGGAAAACTAATTAAAATGGCTTGAAAACTTTGAGTTTTAACGATAAGAACAAAATAAAGGATAAAGTGAATATTACTAGATTTGATTTTTTAGTGTAAAAATGTGGTTTTTCGTTAAAGTGAACAGTACCACAGATTTTTCGTTAAAACTCTCATTTTTAAAATGTGTCATGCAGTTTTAATTTTCTCAAATTGCAATATGAAGTTTTGAAATTGTTGTAATTTATGCATTTGTATTTGAATATTCATTAAATTGATGGCATGATGAGCATAGAACTCGTAATAAGATTGATATGCAAGCTACATTGCATGCGGTCCACTTTCCTATTGGATAGGGTCTTGAGTTTCAACCTATTGAATTCCAGGATTGAAACTCTCTCTCCTAAATTGTTATAATAGTTTCAAACTCTCTTCTATTAATAATAATTGTTTTTAAAAAAAATGCAAACTATACACCACATTAATTAAAAACTCATCAATTTAACAGATAACTACATGTTCAAATAAACAAAATGTGTAAATCGATATAATTCTAAAACCTCAAGGTGTGTAATTTGAACAAATTGAAACCTCGAGACTCATTTTTGAAAACCAACTCAAATATATAGGGTGTAAAGTGTAGTTTGGACTTTTTTTTTTTTTTTTGACAAGGATGACTTCCTGCCCACATGGAAACCTTGATCTTGTACCGTTTAGAGTTGGCAAATCAACTAATTGGGTTGTTAATAGGTACCCGTTAAGACCCGTTAATTTGATATCACCATAATATAGAGGTGAGAACGGTGGTGGTGGTGATAGTACAAGGTGAAATCAAACTAAATGGATCTCAATGGGTATCCATTGACAACCCAATGAGTCGATTTTCCTGGCACTGTTCATTTAAAAATAATTTTTTACAGGACTATAATTCTAGACGGGGCAATACTAAATCCTTTCGATTGAAGATGGCCTAACGATGTACAATGGCTATATTGTTTCCGTTTGAGTAAATTTTGATCAAGCTTGGTCGTACTTCTTCCTTCAAGAGTAATCTCACTGTGATACAACACAGAGAAGTATATATGCATTCAAAGAAAATAGCTAGGACCTACAATACGAGCAGATATTATAGATGACAAAAGTGGACAAACCATATAGAAATTACAATGAATGAACAGAAGTGAAGGATTAATATAAACTAATAAGGTCTAAATTACTTTTACAAACGCTCTATAGAATAAAGATGTCCAAGTCCAGTTTCTTAGCTATTTTGATCCCAAGGTATTGCAGTATCTTTCATATGACTAATGAAAAATAAGACTCAGAAAACGGAAGGCTGGATGGGATCGAGTATTCCTTTTTAACATTTTACACATCACACAATGTGTCCGTATAAAATCACTTCTTGATATAGAAGCACCTCATTGTATTTATCGACCTCATGAAAACAACTACATTCAGTTACAGAAATTCCCTAATGACTGCATCTTAAACTACTTCTTAACTATGTTAGATGTACAAATCTAATAAAAAAATTAGAAAACTTCATTTTAATCCTTGACATGGATGACTTTTAGATTAAAATCATGAGTACGATCAAAATCTAATTTTAGTCCCTTGATACATTAATAACCTCATTTATTAATTATATTTTTATTTATTAATTATTTCTCTTTTTCTTCCTAATTTTTAATGTATTAATTTTATAGAAAACTAGATTTTAATCCCTAAATAAGATGAAGTTTAGAAAAATGTCTTATACAAGATTAAAAATTGATTTTAGTCCCTATACTCTATTATATGCCAGCATATGTATTCAATGTCTCTCTTTTTTATTTATAATTTTATGGTGTTCATAAATTAAATTTTATGAAAATATTATAAATTTTAATTCTCATTATGGTGAGTATCTTATATAAGAAAATAACAAAATCGCGCTAAAGCTAGGGCGTCACCCGTAAGTGGCGCGCTGTGTGGCCCGAGCACAGTGATAAGTGAGCAAGGGTCGCTGTATCTCCATCGGCACCCGGATGCAGTGTTAAATGAGCAAGGGGGCCATAGAAACTTCTTTTCGAACGACTCCACTCAAAGTTGTTTGGGAGCATATGCTCCTATCAACTTTACCCGGGACACACAAAAGAAGTACTTTGATCCTATTAGACGGGGGAGGGTGAAGAAGCTAGGACAGAAGGGTAGAGTTCAAGAGAGCAAAATGCGTTTAGGAACGTGGAATATAGGAACCTTAACGGGAAAATCTATGGAAGTAGTGGAAGTTATGGTGAGGAGAAGGATAAATATTATGTGCCTACAAGAAACTAAGTGGGTTGGTAGTAAGGCAAAGGATCTAGAAAACTCAGGGTTTAAACTTTGGTATTCGGGCACAAATAGAACGAGAAACGGTGTTGGCATCATCGTGGACAAGACCTTGGTACAAGATGTTGTAGATGTCAAGAGGGTAGGAGATAGAATCATGGCAATCAAGATTGTAATAGGACAAGAACTTATCAATGTGATTAGTGCGTACGCACCTCAAGTAGGGTTGGATACGAGTTCGAAGGAGAAATTTTGGGAAGATCTTGGAGACTTGGTGCAAGGAATTGCTCAGACGGAGAAGTTATTTATAGGAGGAGATTTAAAATGGACACGTGGGCAGGGAGACAGGCAACTATGGAGGTTTTCATGGTGGCCATGGTTTTGGGGAGAGAAACGAGGATGGGGAAGCTATCTTGGATTTTGCAATGGCATATGATCTCTTCTTAGCCAACACCTTCTTTAAGAAGAGAGAAGAAGAACATGTGATCACCTACAAGAGTGGGTCGTCAAAAACACAAATAGATTTTCTTCTAATGAGGAAAGGGGATCGTATAACTTGTAAGGATTGCAAAGTTATACCAGGAGAGAGCGTGGCTAATCAACATCGCTTGTTGGTGATGGATGTACATATCAAAAGAGTAAGACAAAAGAACAAGACTTGGAAGTGCCCAAGAACTAGATGGTGGAATCTAAAAGAAGAAAAACAAGCCATTTTCAAAGAGAAGGTAATCACCCAATGTGTGTGGGATAGAGAGGGGGAAGCTAGCCAAATGTGGGATTCCATGGCTAGTTGTATCCGAAAAGTAGCAAAAGAGGTATTAGGAGAGTCCAAGGGCTTTGCCCCACACCAAAAGGAATCTTGGTGGTGGAATGAGGAGGTACAAACAAAGGTGAAGGCTAAGAAGGAATGTTGTAAAGCCTTATACAAGGAGAGGACCGATGAAAATGGTGAAAGGTATAGAAAAGCGAAGCAAGAGGCGAAGAAAGCTGTCAGAGAAGCTAAGTTAGCGGCTTACGACGATATGTATAAACGACTAGATACCAAAGAAGGAGAGTTGGATATCTATAAACTAGCTAGAGCAAGGGAAAAGAAGACAAGGGACCTAAACCAAGTGAGGTGCATCAAGGATGAGGATGGAAAGGTTCTTGCTACAGAGAACGCGGTTAAAGACAGATGGAGAGGTTATTTTCATAATCTTTTCAATGAAGGACATGAAAGGAGTGCTTCTTTAGGGGAGTTGAGTAACTCAGAAGAGTGTAGAAACTACTCCTTTTATCGTCGAATCCGGAAGGAAGAAGTGGTTGTAGCTTTGAAGAAGATGAAGCATAGAAAAGCAATAGGCCCAGACGATATACCAATCGAAGTGTGGAAAGTTTTGGGAGAGACAGGTATAACATGGCTCACTGACCTTTTCAATAGGATTTTGAAAACGAAGAAGATGCCAAATGAGTGGCGAACGAGCACTTTGGTGCCTATCTACAAGAATAAGGGCGACGTACAAAAATTGCATGAACTATAGGGGTATTAAGCTAATGAGTCATACAATGAAGCTCTGGGAGAGAGTCATTGAGCATAGATTGAGGCAAGAGACACGGGTTTCGGACAACCAATTCGGGTTCATGCCAGGGCGCTCAACCATGGAGGCAATCTATCTCTTACGAAGATTGATGGAAATATATAGAGATGGGAAAAAGGATTTACACATGGTCTTTATAGATTTGGAAAAAGCGTATGATAGGGTCCCAAGAGACATTCTTTGGAGGATTTTAGAGAAGAAAGGAGTACGAGTAGCATATATCCAAGCTATAAAGGATATGTATGAAGGAGCAAAGACTGCCGTAAGAACTCATGAAGGACAAACCGAAAGCTTTCCCATAACTGTAGGATTACATCAAGGCTCATCCTTAAGTCCTTACCTTTTTGCGTTGGTAATGGATGAGTTAACAGGACATATTCAAGATGATATTCCTTGGTGTATGCTTTTCGCAGACGATATAGTGTTGATAGATGAAACTCAGGAAGGGGTAAATGCAAAGCTTAACCTTTGGAGAGAAGTGTTGGAATCTAAAGGTCTTCGCCTAAGCCGATCAAAGACAGAATATATGGAGTGCAAGTTCAGTGCAAATGGAGGCCAAAACGAGTTAGGGGTGAGGATCGGAGATCAAGAAATACCAAAGAGCGACCGTTTTCGTTACCTAGGATCTATCTTACAAAAGAACGGAGAATTAGATGGAGATCTCAACCATAGAATACAAGCTGGATGGATGAAGTGGAAGAGTGCATCCGGCGTGTTGTGTGACCGCCGTATGCCACTGAAGCTCAAGGGAAAATTTTATAGGACGGCAATAAGGCCAGGCGATGCTGTATGGCACAGAATGTTGGGCGGTGAAACATCAACACGTACACAAAATGGGTGTAACGGAGATGAGGATGCTTCGTTGGATGTGTGGGCACACGAGAAAGGATAAGATTAGGAATGAGGATATCCGGGGTAAAGTAGGAGTAGCCGAAATTGAAGGAAAGATGAGAGAAAATCGGTTACGGTGGTTTGGACATGTGCAAAGAAGGCCTACTGACGCTCCGATTAGAAGATGCGACT